GTAGGCGGGACAAGGAGGAGAATAAAGCTGGGAAGTGGAAGGCTGAGTCAGAGAGACACTGCCAGCCGCCATGATGAGAAACAACGTGTAAAGATGCCGGTAAGCCATGAGCCATGTGGCAAGGTATAGATTAATGGAAATGGATTAAATTAAGCTGTAAGAACAGTTAGCAAGAAGCCTGCCACGGCCATACAGTTTGTAACCAATATAAGTCTCTGTGTTTACTTGATCGGGTTTGAGCGGCTTGGGACTGGCGGGTGAGAGAGATTTGTCCTGACTGTGGGCCAGTCAGGAAAACTCTAGCAACAGAGGTTTGTCAGCCAAGACGAGATCAACTTCCAAACTAAGAACATAACAAATGAAGCAAAATCTACCTGACCATCCATCAAAGCTCCAAGTAAGAGCACAGGGGCTACATCCGCTTCAAAGACAGTAGCTTCCACTCTCAATTAGCACCCACAAGGTGACAGGACTCTGCTGACTGCTGGGAAAACACAGCTTCAAAAGCAGCTATAATGAACATATGGTTGTGAAGCAAGACAACTGTGGCCGGGCCTGGGACAGGGCAAGCTCACTCTAATGACATCATTTCTTTAGTGTCAAGTAAGTCTTTAGGATAAGAACAGAAATTTAGTCCAAGAACTTAGAGCTTCCTGCTTTCTATTTTCTTCAATGTACAGATAAATGACATATGTATTTATTTTTGGTTTTGTTTGTGTGGCACTGGGGGTTGTAAATTAGGCATGACATGAATATTTGTTAAATAATAACTGAATTCACTGCCATTCAATTATTCCAATTTCCCCTTATACAAAATTAACAGTGTTTGTCATAGGCTATTGCTGTTGGAACATGGGTTGCTACAGGGACAAAGCCTCTTTCCTGAGTCTCTGTTCAAACACAGTGAGAGATGGAGTCATCCATCTGTTTTATACCAGAGACCACTGATTTCAAAGGAAAGTTGATGCAGTTAAGGGAATTGAGTTCTAAGTGCAGGAAAATCAAATAGTGTTTTTTAATATGGAATGGGGGTCATGGAAAGTCCAATTTGAAGACCCTGTGCTTTCATCTCTAAACAGATGAGGGATGGGAAGGGTCAGGCTCTGCCCTTTAATAAGTAACTCCTTTGACCCTCATTTATTTTTTCTTTGCTCCCCATTTGATGCTCAGCAGCCAGAAATGAACCTCAGGCCACAGGTGTACAGTGCACGTGCTGTTAATCTATCCTGCTGAATTTCTAAGTTTTCCGGACAAAAAGACTTAAGTGGTCTTTCTGTCAAGTTTTGTTAACTTAAATGTAATGGTCCCTCCTTAGAGCTTCATTTTCAGTTAACTAAATTAGATATAGATGCCAAGGTTAAAGGCAGCAGATGCAAAGCTCATAATGCACCCATATGTAATAGCATCTGCTTTTAATAGAATACGCATGCATGCTAAGAGATAAGTTTGAATACCATAAATTAATTGGGTGGCCTTCTACCTCAAGTGTCATTCATAGCAATGAGAAAATACAGAACTCTAAATATGACAGGGCTCCCTTATGCGGTCTATTTTGTTTAATTTAGGCATACAAGTAAGCTCATATTTGAACCTTATTGGCATCCCTCCAAGACAGAGCACATATGAACAATGTAGCAAAGAAAGAAGATCCTTAGCTATAATAGAGGGAGCTTAGCCAGTCCCCCCGAAAGATCACAAGCCCTGAACTATCTTTCTGACCGCTTCTAGAATAAATGCACAGAAATGGAGATGGCACGGACATGGTTTCAATCTCAAACATTCATCAGCCATGTTGAGTGCAAGCGTTAACAAACGTGAGCCAGTACTCACCACGTTCACTCAGAGTGCTGGCACACTAGTGAGCAGAACTGTATTTAGGCTCCATTGTTTCAAAAGAAATCACTCCTAGACACGTTTAAATTGCAGTGTTCACATAAATAAAAAACCGTGTGTTCTCCATTTACTCAAATAATGCATTTTCCTCATTGTTGTATTTTGATTTCCATGTTAGATCAGGACAATATCATGGTCTAAGAAAATTACGGTGTATAAAAGGTCAGCCTAGGGTTAGGTGTGGTAGTGGAAAATACTCTGGCAGGTACAGTTAGTGGAGTGTGTTGCAATCACTTTTTAAAACTCTGGAAAGCTAATCCTGGGAGACTTTATAGAAATTAAGGTGCTGTTAGCAAAGCCTGTTGACCGAGACAACTGGGTGGAAACAAGCCAATCCCCTGAAATGCCTTGGGCTCTCCTCCTCCAGCAGCCGCCTGCCATCTAGTGGATGTATTGCAATCTAGCCAGGAGTTGCTTTACTTAAAATCAATGTACCGATTGAATAATGCAATATTGTCTTTTGAATAAAAACAGAGGCATTTATTCTAGTTGACATGCCTCAAAATAAAGCCTATCTGGTTTACAAAGAACCATGATATAGTCTGTCCTTGTTTGCTTCTCTGTTGCTGTGACTAAACACTGACCCAAGTCAACTTTGAAGAAGGAAGGATTTATTTCATTTTACAGCCGCTAGGCCACAACCATCACTGAGGGAAGTCAGAGAAGGACCTCAAGGCAGGAGCCTAGCATCAGGAATTGAAGCAAAGACCATGGAGGAGCAGTGCTTTCTGACTTGCTTGTGTGCTCATATGCAACTGTCTTATACAACCCAGGACACCATAGCCTGGTATCGCCACCTATAGTGAGTAAGGCCCTCTTCCCTCAGCCATCGAGAAAATGCTCCTCCTAGATGCCCATACACCAATACAATGGGGGAAATTACTCAGTTGAGATTCCCTCTTCCTGAGTGTCCGTAGTTTTTGGCAAGTCCACAAAAACTACCCAGCCCAGTCCTTACTGAGAAAACATCATTTTTGGACTTATACTCACCAAAAAACCAAGTCTTATTAAATCCAAGCCAAAATAAATAAAAGAGAATTATTAATATTCATTCTATTTATGTTTCTTCTGTGCCAATTCCATAAATTATTTCGCTATATCATATTTTAATTGGATTATTTGTAACCCCCCCAAAAAAATCATTGAATAAGCAATTACCTATTAACCAACTTTCACGACAGACATTAAAGAGATCTAAAATGTAAGAGACACAGTCTTGGATTTTTGTAGTGTAGTCAGAGAGGGAAAAAAGTCCAAACGAAGTAAATAGTGAGTAGCTATGCCTCCTGGTATGGTCCAAAAGAAGGAACTCTGTCCCAGGAAATGTCAGTGTTTAAGAGTGATGCTTAGGCTATGTTTGACAATAATGAAACCCGCATCCTGAAAACAACGAAGATGTCTTTTTCCAGGTGGGATAATTAATATCTTAATATAAAGGGGAGGCGGAAATGAATGTACAATGAAAAGACACAGGAGTGGCGTCCCAAGTAACCCTGGGCCATGGTGTAGGCTGATGGGTGGTGAGCTGAACACGATCTGCAGCACCAGGAAGGTCTTTGGGAAAATGTTAAATTATATTGTAAATAGCATCTCAGTGCTTGGGCTCTCCTTATTTGCCCTGTGTTGAGCAACCATTGGCAGGCTGTAAGTGGAAATAAATGCTTGTAACTGGGTTTTGAAGAGTGAGGCAGGTTAATGAATTCCACTCATCCTCTTGTGGCATGCAGGCAGAACACTGTATACATAATAAATAAATCAATCTTTAAAAAAAAGATTGATTGATTTATTTATTATGTATACAGCATGTATGACTGCAGGTCAGAAGAGGGTACCAGATCTCATTACAGATGGTTGTGAGCCACCATGTGGTTGCTGGGAACTGAACTCAGGACCCCTGGAAGAGCAGTCAGTGCTCTTAACCTCTGAGCCATCTCTCCAGTCCCCAAATAAATCTTTAAAAAAAAAAATTCTGTTCCTATCTCCCTGTCCTCTGACTTTGAGGCCCCATCTTCAATAATAATTAAGTAATAACTAAAATCACCATTTGTTTTATATATAATACATACATATGTATTATTTCTTTCTTTTGGGTAGTCTTAAAGCCCTGTAAGAGACTTGTTATCTCACATTTATAGACAAAAATGTTGCTGTCCAGAGCAAGTGTACACTTGCCTTATGCACAAAGTAGCAAGAAGAATAACTTTAGACCTTTCATATTTCAAATTTTGTACACAGTTGCTTGTTTTCTTTGGACTCTATTGCCTTCTCTTGAGGAAGATCAGCTAAGGTAGTAACAGTTGCCTCTTACTGAAGCTGTAGTGATACTGAACTTGGCATTCACAGTCTGTGAGCCAATTCAGGTCCAGCTGCCCATAAGCCAATTAAAAGTGGAAAGCAGAAAGAAAAAAAATATTTATACAACGTGACTGAGAAGAGTAACAAAGAGATCCAGCAAATCCCTCAAGTCTGGTTTGGTCTTTAGGGTCCTGAAATGAGATCAAAATTTAAATAGAGTGCAAAGGATTGCATATCTCAGCAGTCCTGGTCAAGATGAGGCCCCGCCCACCATTAACCATCATTGGCTGGGCTTCAGTTTCATCCTGTGAGGTAATCTGACAAGTAGTTAGAACTGTGTGAAATCTCTTTCTGGGAAACAAGATCCCCTCTGGCTGGAGCCTTGTCCTTCTCCCGCCAGGAGATTCCTGGGGAGATCCTCACTTCTTTGTGGTCCATCGTCTTAATAGTCTAACAATCAGACTGAGACATGGTGTCTCTTTAGAATATCTTCATCTGCCAAGTCGATTACAGTGGTGTCTATGTATGTTTGCTCATGACTCAGAACCTTGACTTAATCAAATGAATTAGATATGGAAAAAGACCTTTTTGGTCAGAGAATGCATCTCCCTGCCAAGAATAGGACTTTTTGCCTATAAAGCCTTCATTACTTCAGACATATTTATAACAAATATCACATTTTCCTATTTTAGACCCTCTATGAAACCATCCTCACCAATATTCAAGATTGCCACATAATTCTATAAGATATTTCCCATCTCCCACTTCGCCCCCCCAACTATATTTTCTTACCCTCCAACTTCCCTACTTACCACATGAGGGCATTCTGCCGTTCGCATTTGTGGGCAATCGTCCTCAGCAAGCACAGTGGAGGCACAAGGTTAACCCAGACACTTTGCCACCGGTGAGAGACCTTGGCAAACATCTAAAGCTGACGAAGCGCCGGGAGCCTCTGCTTAGCGTTCATGTTTCTTTCACGTATTCCTAAAGTTCTTTAGGGAGAAGATCCGTGTGGTCCCCCAGTTTCTTGTGAGTTTTCTTCTGTTTCTTTTGTTCTATTCTGGTACGTCTCATTTCTTTTTTATCTTATTTTATTTTACTAGTATTACTTAGATGCCGGTTTTTTTCTAATGAGAGACAGAAAAGGTGTGGATCTGAATGGGAAGGGAGATGGGGAGGACCTGGGAGGCATAAGGGGAGGAGAAACCACAATCAATATATTGTATTAAAAAAAAAAAAGTCAATTTTCAGTAAAAGAAAAAATTAACAAAATCACAAAAAAAGAAAGGCTTTTGATGTCTCACTAATCTGTTGCCCCCAGAATCACGTCAAATAGGCCTTTCTAATTTATTCATGTACAGTCAGTTTCAAATCAGTAAAAGGGATCAGTATCCAGCAGACACTCTACCTACACAAGACACTATCACCCAACCCAGCAATGGCCACCAAGGAGACACCAGCAGCCTACAAACTCAAGCCTGTCAGTAAATTACAACAAGGGAGGGCATCCAAGGCAGTCACAGAACTCTGCCCAGCCGGTGAGGTTTAGAAACACCCTGTGATTCTAAAGCTGGAGTCCTACGTGAGGTTCTGAGGGAGATCTGAGGAAAACAGAATCATCTGGAACTGGGTGCTACCATGAGTAAGTTGAGGATTTAACAGTAGACTTAGAGGCATCATTCCCAGGAATTTAATAGTCACTTACAAATTAGGGCCACTGAGGCATTTTGCAGCCATTATCTGACTTTGGTTAACTTTGCATCTGACTTATCCGTTTGAGCCTAACAAAGGGCAGGAATGGATATTGTCACTTCATTCTGAAGCAATGTTCACTCTATGGGTCCTGGATAGGTTTTAACTCTTTCAGAGTGGCTCCTAAAATCTGTGTTAGGGGGAAAGAGCTCTGTACTATCCCTGCCGCATTTCAGTGAGTCTGTATAATCACTACGCTCTTTCAATTATCATCGCTTTAACCTAAGGGTCTTCACAAGAGGGTGTGCTCCCCTCCATGCCTGCTCACTGACCTCTGCTCTACACATTGACTTACCAGTGACTAGGGAAGTAAGACCCTCTGTTGGGAGAGTTTAGTGGGATTTGTGAGTTGTATGTTTTATGAACCAATTTTTGGGTTACTAACAGGAATATGGGTGAGGGGTTAACTTGCAAAGAGCACTTCTGATATGGTTTGACCTCCTTGTGTTGATCCATTTCCCATCACTCTCTCTGTTGGCTTAAGCTGTACTCATGGAAAATTTAAATCCACAACATCTTTTTCATATAAACTAAGTTCAAACCAGCTGCCCCGTCCAACTTCCCAGCCAACCTATATTCAGTTTATTTTTTAAGCTAATCATAGAACTCCCCTGGTAATGGTTAACTTGTACATTTCTCCTCACAGTCAGCACTGTGACTGAATGGAAGAAAACTAAGACTCAAAAGCCCCAGGTGTAAACTCCAGCTCGCCAACTAACTGCAGAACTCCAAGCAAGTCATTCACTCCTCAGGGTCTCGTTTCCTTGTAAAATAAAGTCAGTGTCTTAGTTTCTCAGAACCTTCAGCTCTAATACCTTTTCATGTGTCCCCAGGCTGCTATCATGCTTAAAATCTGTTGTACTTGTGTGATCTTTATTGATGAAAACAAATTATTCAGGGAAGTCAATTAACTTGGCCAACATCATAAATGAACTGATTCTGGCAGATACAGTTGGGGTCTCAATTCTGTGCTTCTGTCTAGTAGAGCCAGCTTCTATTTAATCTCACCCATTTCTGTCCATCGATCTATCCTTCTCTACATTTGCCCACAAAGCTACCAAGTACCTTCTTAGACTGGACAATCATTTTCTGTAGCCTCCAATAGTTACTCCAGTATCTTTCTTCCCATGTGCCATACAACTTCTCAAAGAGGCCATGTACAACTTGTTATTTACTTCATACCATGAAGGCTGGGCTTCTTTTTCAATGATTCCGAAAACAATTCCTGGACCAGTACACTCGGAGTCTTATCCCGGGTGTCATCAACCTCCCTCACTACAGCGTCTCTGCCCCCAGTTCCTTCTCCCTAAGTTTTCCTTGAGGTTTTCTTCAAACAATTGTCTTTTGTGGGAAACCCCAGTATTCATCTCTATACAAGTCCCTACACATAACCTCTGACCTTCAGATGTTAGTGACAGTCATTCACTGGGACACCGTCTTTGAGTGGTCTCTCTCCTTATATTCCTCCTTATAATCAAGGGATTATGCTTCACTAAAATCTGAATGCCTTCAGGCCCTGCTCAGATTCTAAATGTATTTACCAATGTGCCCCCCTAGACAGAAATCCTATCCAAATAGCTTGACCTGTGGAAGCCTTGGCTGGAGAGCACTAACAGTGACTAAAAGGTAAAACTGCAGGTAAGAGCCCCCAGCAAAGCCTAACATGAGGTCAGAGAACTAACAAGCATGCTGCCAGCAACTCATAAAAGTGCAAAATAGTCTCTTTTCAGCTCAAGAAGAACTGATAAACTTTAAGAGAAGGGTGGTTACCCAGATGTGTAAATAAATATAGTTCGTTTTAGTACCAAGGACATTCTTTAAGTCCTTGTCCCTTTTTATGCCTTAGAAACAGTCAAAACAATCCATATGATGACCTTCAGAGCAAACAAAACTAGACTGTACTCATTGGAGAAACAAAACAGGACTATTCAGAGATGTATGAGGACAGCGAAAGTGCAGCCTGGGTACATCAGAAAGAGAGGGGAAGTTGTTCAAAGACATGTTTATGAGGATTAATTAAATGACTTTCAATGCCAACAGGTGGGCACTGTACTCGGGGGATTTAGAGATGATGTGGAATTGAAGGTCAGCGCTTAGCAATGTCCCACCCCGGTTCCCTTACCCACCACCCAAACTAATATCCAATTTTAAAAACTCAGTTTAGACATTTTTAAATACCATATTATTTTCTTCTATAGTAAAACAAAATCTAAACATTAAATTAGTTCTAGGTATTCTCCATAAATTCTGACATAAATCTTAGACTAATTTTTGAGGTTTCTCCAACTTCCATTCTCTATAACGTCCATACCTGTGTGAAGAAAAGGTTGTTGTAAACTCAGTGCCACGAATCATAATGGAACAGAGCCCAGCCATGTACAGATTATTAAAGACAGTTTGATTTTCTATTGCCTCTTGAATTTACTTTCTTATGAAAGCATGCCCGTGTTAACAGTTCAACTGCAGTGTGTTGCTAGAGTTTCCCTGCCTGGCCCACAGTCAGGACAAATCTCTCTCACCCGCCAGTCCCAAGCCGCTCAAACCCGATCAAGTAAACACAGAGACTTATATTGCTTATAAACTGTATGGTCGTGGCAGGCTTCTTGCTAACTGTTCTTACAGCTTAAATTAATCCATTTCTATTAGTCTATACCTTGCCACGTGGCTTGTGGCTTACCGGTACTTTACATCTTCCTTATCCTGATGGCGGCTCGCAGTGTCTCTCCCTCCAGCTTCCTGTTCTCTCAATTTTCCTCTGTTAGTCCCGCCTATACTTCCTGCCTGGCCACTGCCAATCAGTGATTTATTCATTGACCAATCAGCAACACATTTGACATACAGACCATCCCACAGCACCTCCCCTTTTCTTTTCTTAAAAAGGAAGGTTTTAACCTTTACACATCTCCAAAGTCAGCTTGGTATATTTGGGAATTTGGGCGTAGCTTCTCTTACTACTTCCTGCTGGAGGGGGGCGCTGTTTCTTCTGGGGAAACAAAGAAAATTTTAGGATCATGGAGTAGTCCGTGAGGCTGTATCGTCTGAGCCAGTTGCCTTGAAACGGTTCTGGATGTTGGATCATCTGGGCCATGGTGTCATCGGAGACCTTTCAGGTGGTCTTGGCTGGTCAAACCTGATGTGTCTTAATCTGGAACAAATCCATAGCCTCTTGCTTTCTGTGGAAACAAAAGAGACTCTTTTCCAAAGCAACATATCCTTACATCCAAATTTTGAAGTCAAAGTATCTTTAAAATATACGTACTGGTTTAACTCAGTTTCCTTTACAATCAAACATCTCTCTGTAGTTAAGAATCCCAAAGACAACACAATCCAGACTCTCTGTGTAATAGTCATCTCTACGTGGCTTATTTTTTATATTAATTTTACTGTCTCTTTAAAGACTTTATTTTTTAAAACCATGTATTTGTTTATATAACTGTATATATCACCTTTTTTGTCTCTTTCAAGCCTATGTATATTTTACACACATTTTACACTATTACATCTAAATCTGTCTTATTGTAAACCTGTTGCTTTAAATTGCAGCCTTCTAAGCCTGAAACGGCACTGTGGCTGCTGGCTCCGCCCACTTTAGCTTCCCAACATGGCGGTTCCGCCAGCTCTGGGAACCATCAAGTCTCAGAAATAGTGGGTCTACGCTTTTATCAAAGCAGTGTGTAGCCCAGAAACCTCTTTTTTTTTTTGTTTTGTTTTGTTTTGTACTAGCAAAGGCTAAATTCACCACACAGCTTAATGTGCCACTTGCAGAGGCCTCATTCCCGCCATACTGCAGGTTGAGCGCGCACGCCAGCAACTCGCCAGTAGCTCAAACCGGCAGCTGCCGCTCATTTGAGAGAGACAATTAGGAAGCTGTTTTTAGCTCCGTTTTAGAATCTTTTTTCTCAGGTTTTAGGTGGAAACTCTTGCCACCACGTTGGACGCCATTTGTTGCTAGAGTTTCCCTGCCTGGCCCACAGTCAGGACAAATCTCTCTCACCCGCCAGTCCCAAGCCGCTCAAACCCGATCAAGTAAACACAGAGACTTATATTGCTTATAAACTGTATGGTCGTGGCAGGCTTCTTGCTAACTGTTCTTACAGCTTAAATTAATCCATTTCTATTAGTCTATACCTTGCCATGTGGCTTGTGGCTTACCGGTACTTTACATCTTCCTTATCCTGATGGCGGCTCGCAGTGTCTCTCCCTCCAGCTTCCTGTTCTCTCAATTTTCCTCTGTTAGTCCCGCCTATACTTCCTGCCTGGCCACTGCCAATCAGTGATTTATTCATTGACCAATCAGCAACACATTTGACATACAGACCATCCCACAGCAGCAGTGAGTAACCCCCACGTCACTCTGCTGTATTGTCAATCTTACCACCTGTCCTAGCGAGGCTTCTGTCTCTAGGATAAAACTATAACCAAAAGTAACTTGGGGAGGAAAGGGTTTCATTTAGCTTATGTCCAGGGATGCCAAGACAGGAACTGAAGGGAGGAAGTGAAGCAGAGACCGTGGGGGAAAGTGGCTTGCCTCCTCAGGCTAGCTCAGCTATCTTTCTTGGACATCCTAGGCCACCTACCTGGGGATGGCCCTGCTTACAATGAGCTGGGCACTCTTACATCAACTAGCAATTAAGAGACTGTCCCACGGACATGCCCACAGGTCAATCTGATGGCAATCCTCAACTGAAGTTTCCTCTTCCCAGGTGACTCGATAATTGTGTCAACTTGACAAGAACTAACCAGCACACAACCTGAGGTTGGCCTCAGTTCTCAGTCCTGAGAATACATTTCAAGATATCAGACTGGAAGGGGAGGTGACATGAAGTATAGCCTTTGAAAATATTTTTAAGCCAACCAAGTAACAACAGACAATGAAGATTATAAAATGTGATTTTGACCATGCTGGAGGAAGAAAAATATGAGATGTGGTAAAGCCAAGTTAGAAATGTGAGAAAGAGTTTTACCATACTCGAGTGAAAAGAGATGATGAAAATGAGAAAATCAGACAGGACCAGTTGTTACTGATGTCCATTTTCTCTTTCCTTTACAGCCATCCACCTTTTAGCCCTACACATGTCTACCTAGAATAAGCACTGCATCTTCAAGAAGCTGGGTCTAGTTTTGTCATTGGGAGGTAGAGGGTCTCTCCTGCAGGTTTTTGGTCTTATACACAAAAGCATTTTTAAACATACTCAGAAAGGAACACAGGAACAATTTTACTGGGATTAGAGTAAACAACAAGGTAGGCAAGTGTGGAATCTCAGCAACTGCTAGGAGAAAATAGAAAGAAAGTCACTCTTTCTGAATGAGAACTGGAGAAGGCAATGTGGGCAGGCTCAGCAATACCATTTACAAATAGCTTCAGTGAAGTGGGAATTTCAGGGAAAGTGAGGCTAAGCTAAAAGTCAAGATGGGAAGGCTTGGGGTTTCTACAGGTCTTGGGAGACAGAAGCTGGAAAGAGGAATGTTCCACTTTCTGAGTTCTAATTCAGAAAGGGGTCAAGCTTGGCAGTGAATCTACAAGCAAGTACAGCAAGAGATGGGCTTTGAGGCTACTTCTCATTAAGGCAGTAGTAACTCCTGAGCTCTTATCTCGTCCTCCTCAGGCAGGTCATATTTCTGTTGTACCTTCTGATTTTGGACTGGTGTCTGAGAGGCCAGGTAGCACCATGGTGGGCTTCTCCTGGCCCCAGCCTCTACTAGGCCTGAGTTTCAGTTAAGTTTCAGTTTCTGTTTAGTTCTCAGTTTGTTTCAATTTCAGTTTCTGATAAGGCAGGTGAAGGAGATAGTGCAAACCAGGCATGATTCAGCACTTACAGCCCCAGCCAAACAGAAACATATTAGTGCGGCTGATGCTCGCTTGGCAATCATGTGTAGGGTGACCTAATCCCTACCTGGTTGTCTATAAAAGGAATCTGCAAGCTTCTCTGGGGGTCATCACCATTTTGTCGTGTGGCTGATCCCTGCATGCAGGAATTCTTTTCTCAAGAAATAAACACTCTTGCCTTTGCATATATGAGTGGTGGTCTTTTGTGGGGTGATCTGCTGGCCCTAACAGTGTCCTCTGCTTATAAAACAGTATTTCCTCCTTGAGGCAGCTGGCCTCCAGCCCTGCATGAGAAAGGAAAACATTTGCTGTCTACTGGAAGGACTAAGCAGATGCCATAACAGGCTGCTTAGTCTTCTGTCAGAGATCAGGCCTCAATTTCAGTCTCCTGAGATTGAGTAAGCAGTTTCTGAGGAAGCCACAAACAAAGGACAATCAATCTTCAATGCCCCTGAGAGCAGGGAGGAGGGAGATAGTGTATACCAGGCCTGAGCCAGCCCCACAGTCAATAGCTCAAATAGCTCAAATAAGGACAGAGCCTGGGACTCTCCAGCCCCTGACTAGCTCTAGCCAATTAGAATGTACTAATATGATTGCCACTTGCTTAAGCCAATCATATCTGAGATGACCTAACTGCCCTGGGAACTCTCCTAAGCTATGCTTAAAAGGAGCCTGTGAGCTTCTCTCAGGGTCATCGCCATTTTGCCTCTGTATAGGATGGGCAGCCCCAGCATGCTGGAATAATAAATGCTCTTGTTGACTGCATATATGAATGGTAGTCTTTTGTGGGACTTCTCCAGGACCCTAACATCTACCTCTAGAGGATATTATCAACCACTAACCAAACCATTTATAAAAGGGATGACAGACCATTAACTATATACTATTTGTGTCAAGGTTGTCAACATATTAGGGTTCATATGTCCCAAAGGGGGTCCCAACACAGGGGGTCCCCAGTAAAGGAGGTACCTGCTATCCACATCCTAATGAATGTTATTGAACATGGGTCGTGCCATTTGTGCCAGATAATGACAGTATATTGGCATTCATATTTTTCAGATGATGCCTTGGAAGCAGCTGGCTACAAATGGCTCTTTTCATTCCCTTTCTTCTGATCAGCTGCTATTTTAGACTCTACCCCATGGAGTTGTTCTATGATGACGCTCAAGGACCTTCCTTGAGAAAAGATTGATACTAGCCTTTGCACTCTTCCTACAGCCTCCTCCATCCTGTAGCTTGGATTCAGATATACCCTGATCTCCATTTCTAACCATTAGGACAAAGAGGATGCCTAGTAAAGACAAAACATAAGGCAGGAGAAACCTCAGTTCTTATAGACTTTGTGGTGCTGAGCTGGTATGCAAGACCTGAATTGTTGTGTCACTTCCCTAAATCTGCTGTAACAAATTACCACAAATGGGTAATGGATTTAAAAAGACAGACAATTGTCCTGTCATTGTTCTGGGGGAGGTAAGTTCAAAAATCAAGGTGTAAGTAGGCCCATGACCCCTCTGAGGTGCACAGAGGTGAGTCTGCCCTTATACCATCCCTGTTTCCAGTAGCTGCTGGTTTAGGGAAAACTCAAAGAAATATTTTATTATACCATGGAAAATTTTTCAACAGAGGTTGAAGTTATAGAAAACAATGCTATTATTCAATAAGCATTAAGTAAGAATGTGACATGCATCACCTGTTGATTTTATCTAAGTTGTTCTACTACCAATAAAGACTCAGAAGTCAGATGTTGGGATGAGAACCTGATAGATCAAAGAAGCAGAAAAGGAGCAACCAGCTAACCTTCCCTTTTTTACCAGAGATCTAGCAAGTGCCTCTCTCTCCACATGTCCCACACCAAAAAGACAACCAATCTCTAAGTCCCTCCCCACTCCTTCCTGAGCCTCTCTATCTGTGCCCCAGGTCCTCTGCACTCTCTGTGGCTAATTCTTGTTAACTAGTCACTGGCTCCACCCCCTGATCCAATGTTAATTTTATTAACACAGTCTTGGAGTTTCACAGTACAATCAAATATCCCACAACAATCACTGGCAGTCCATAAAGAGACAGAAGAAGAAAAATAAATCATGCTTTGACACACCTAGCTAGCACAACTCATTCCACTCATGTTCCTGAGATAAGTCCTCAAGTAAGAGGATTTAACATCACCTTTGGTCACATATCCTACACTCACCTAGTACCTGGGATGGACATCTATGTTTGCTAATTTGAGTTACCCAAATTAAAAATAAATGTATATCTTCATGACATGAGTGGTGGTTCTTCAGCAAAGTGTCTGCTGACCAGTTTCGTGTGATGTCTTTTTCTGCACAGACTGTGTAGTCAGAGCCTGGGAAGAGCTCATCTTCCACTGATGCCACCTTCTTTCATGTGTTAACCTCTGGAGTCATGTCTTCCACCCCTTTTCTGTTCTGCCTCAATACCCTACTCAAATTTGGTCTAATTTCCATGTAAAACCTGTGTTATTTCCATGTAACGTTACAATCTCCAGTAGGAAGGGGAGCGAAGGACATACCTTCAGAGAGACACAATTCAACTCATAGCAATTACCTATCCATGTCTTATGTAGGAGGAACCCTAATTTGTTTAAGCTACCATTATTTGGGGTGTTTGTTAAATCACAGCCAGCTAGTCGTAACTCTGGCAGAATCTGACGACAAAATAAAAACCCCAACGTCTTTCACTAACCAAGTGCACTGCTGCCCCCTAGTGTCCACTAAAATCACTTACCCTTTCTACCTGATCCACATCTGGCCCTTGAGGTCTTTGTTTATATTTTACCTCTTTTCCTGCCTGATTGGAAAAGTTGCCTTGAAAGGAAAAATAAAAACAGATATTTTAATTAAATATAAAAGTTATTTTAATATATTTAATTAAAGATAAAAGTTCTGACCAAAATTTGCCAGATGTTGTAACTTAAAATGAATGTTTCCTTCAAAATGTAATCAAGTTCTCAATGAAGAGATCAATGTTATTGAGGTTAAATTCTTGGATCTTTTTCTAGGAAGAAACAATTGAGATAAGAAGTCTTTTGTTTTTCAAAGATCATATCCAGAACATCACTAATATAAAAGCAATTTTAGAAACAAGATGAACCCATATCCACCAGCACATGAGCACACAGACTAGACACAATGAGGTACGAAGAGGAAAAGGATCGGAAAGTCGGGAGGGCGTGGGAAGGTGGGGTTGATCTGGGAGGAGCGGAGGGGAGATAGGACTTAAATATGATCAAAATACATGGAGTGCATGTGTGCAATTGCTAAACAATTACTAAAAATATTATATCAAAACACAAAATGGAAACTCGATTTAAACTCCTAAAATATTTAAATTTGCTAGACTCTATTACTAAGTCAAATAGCAAAATCTTGAACATGCCATAACAGTACCACAGAAAGCCCCTTTGTTTCAACCCTGAGATAATTCCAAACTGCCTGAGGCAGACTTGGTTTTCTTTGCTACCACTGTAAGGC